CTCTTCTCCGTCGCCTTCTGTTGTGGTACAAACTCCCCCAATTGACATCCCTACTCGTACGAGGCCATCACCACCAAATAGTGTAATTCCTACTCGGCGTCCATCGACTCCCCCACGAAGAAATCCCTCTCGTTCTAAAAAGATCTGCAACGTAACGTCACCACCTCGTCCGTCTCCCAATAATGCATCTCCACCATCTTCTTGTCTTCGAGATCAATCTCAGCCTCCACAAGTCGAACCTGCACCATCTAAAGTCACAAGCAGTTCCGAACCTCAACCAATCGCCGAAGTACTGGGTGAGGCTGCTCCATTACCACCTAGAAGGTCCACTCGTACTCGCACTCAACCTCAACGACTTGGCAACTTCGTAAACTCAGTATCTTTGACTGATGATGCCTGCGATACCCCGAAAACGTGGAAGCAGCTATTACGCTCGCCAAACAAAGACCGATGGCTCAAGGCGGCTGATGCGGAGTACTCATCACTAATTGGAATGGGTACGTGGCGATTAGTTCCTCGTCCTGAAAAACGAAAAATCATCAAATCCAAATGGGTTTTCAAAGTGAAGCGTCGGGTCGACAATACCATCATCAAATTGAAGGCTCGTCTGGTGGCAATGGGGTATGCTCAAGTCGAAGGCATTGATTATACTGAAGTTTTTGCTCCAACCACTAAGTTGGAGACCCTCCGCCTAGCTCTCTCTCTCATGGCATCGAAGAAGTGGTCTGGGCGACAAGTTGACATCAAGACAGCTTTTCTGAATGGGCATCTTGATGAACCCGTTTATATGTCTCAGCCACCAGGCTACGAAGATCCTAATAATCCAGATTGGGTGTGTGAAGTTATCAGATCAATCTACGGTTTGAAGCAATCTCCGCGACAGTGGAATCGAGAGCTACATGCTGTTCTCATTACGCTTGGTCTCCAACAATCATCCTATGATCCCACGCTCTACTTTCGCCTCAAGGACAAGAAGCTAGTGGGGATGGTCACTGTTCACGTAGATGATCTGTCGTTTTTAGGTCCAGATGACTTTGTCAACTCTTTCATCACCGATCTCTCTTCTCGTTTTGAAATCTCATCAAACGAAGAACTCCATCATTTCTTATCTCTAGACATACGACGCGATGTAGATAAGAAGTTGGTGTTTCTAAATCAAGCGCATTACATCAAAGAGTTGGGTGAAAAATTCTTACCATCGGTTCATGTCTCGACTCAGACACCTACGGACTCAAATTTCAAAGATCTCATGCCTCGACGAGAAGAGGAGCCGAAGTCGAGTGGCCACTACCAAAGTCTCATTGGGGCTCTTCTTTGGGTGGCTCAATGTACAAGAGCTGACATATCTTTCGCTATCAGTCGACTATCGCAGTTTCTGCGTGATCCCTCGGAGTCTCACTGGCTTGCAGCAGTACGAGTGTTGAATTACCTTCTAACTACATCTCATCTCAGTCTTACTCTTGGAGGTACACCAACTATCTCTGGCTACTCTGACTCGGATTGGGCCAAGGACAGGCATGATCGTAAATCAACCTCCGGCTACACCTATCGTTGGGGCCAAGGAGCGGTCTCATGGAAGTCTCGCAAGCAATCGACAGTCTCTCTCTCAAGTACTGAGGCTGAATATAAAGCACTATCCGACTCGAGTCGTGAGGGGATCTGGCTAAAGAACCTGTTATCTGAACTTCACATCAATGCACCATCAGCCATCCCTCTTCATGTGGACAATGAAGGAGCGGAAGCACTGGCGAAGAACCCTCAGCACCATTCAAGAACGAAACACATACACACCAGGTATCACTATGTTCGGGAATGCGTTCAAAATGGGTCAATTGAAGTCAGACATGTAGCTTCAAAAGATATGTTAGCAGACATGCTAACTAAGCCTTTAGGACGTGTAATGCTTCAGTCTCATCGAACATTGTTTGGCATTGTGTGAATTTTTTTTTTGTTTCTCTTTCTTTTATGTTGAATTTTTTTTCTTTCTCTCTTTCTTTCTCTTTTTATCTTTTTTTTTGTCTTTCTTCAAGAATGAATGATGTACATGTTGTACGCAAGGGGGGGTGTTGGGATAGTCCTACGTGACTTCAAATTCTTTATGTAAAAGTCCTGTGAGACTAACCCATGATACGTAGAATCTAAGTGTGTGCTAAACAAACATATTACATCATGTGAAAACCGTTATGTAAAATTTTCACTATATAAATCCTACTGGAGCAGTCAAGGAAAGGTGCTTCCTCTTCACCTTTCCTTTGTCTCTTTCTCTGACTGTTCCAGGTAGGATTTCTCTCTGGTTCTCTGTTTCTGTTTGCTTTTGTCCGTGAAATTTACATTACCTTTCCTTTGTCTCTTTCTCTGACTGTTCCAGAGCTCAAGAGTTTTTACCTTTTTGGAATTGAGTGTTGCATAGCGATGTCATGCTAGAATGCTGGATGTGATGTGTATATTGAAGTGTGCATCATAGAATAGGTTTCTTTCTAACATTATGAAATGATCCAATGAGTTTGAGTCACACATATATAATTAGAACACTGCTGTTGTCACTTTGTTGTTCTTTTTCTCTATCAAACTCATTATGGTCGCTAGTGCCAAGAGGTGTGAAATTCTGGACCTGGTATCTACATAGAACCCCACTTCAACACAAGAATTTCTTATGATGTGGAAACCAAGCAAAACAAGAAGTTGAAATATTCAATTTGCAACCAGATACCTGGGTTGCCACCAATGCCAGGACTCCAATGGTACCCTCGGCTCCCAGATTCAATGAGGTTTGTGGCTTGGCATCAAGTTGCAAGAGAAAAACTTGCTGGTCCAACATTTTACGCTTCTCAACACTAAAGACTATATTAGAATCTTGTACAATCTTCCTTTTTTTAGATTGTGGGTTCTTTCAATCATACATCAGTCTCACATAGACTGATATCTGATCCTTGTTCTTATCAGGTATCGTGTCTTCTTTTGATCATACATTGGTCCCACATAGACTGATATCTGATCCTTGTTCTTATCAGAAAAGTAATCCCACACCAGATCTTGTTTTTTTGCCGCAAAAGAAGATTTCCTTGGTCATATGATACCCAGTACACCACAATTGAAGGCTTTGTACTCTTTTGCCTTGATCATCCACCATCTTTTTAGAAAATTCCTGCTATGAAGATGCAAGCCTTTCCTTGCATCTACTGTCAAGCCCACCTGGTTTACAGAATGAAAGAGTGAAGGGGATTTCTATCATCAAGGGGTTTCAACTTGAGATAATTTTGTGTAAAACCTTTACAAAACAGACAAGTTTATAAAATTTTATTGTCTTCTTTTTCTGAAAATATATGGTCAACAGCATTCAGGCACCTTTTTAGGTGTCCTGAATTTTTACGTTTACGGTGAATTTCACAACAACAGGCAAGTTGTTGCACTGTAAAAATGCCGTAAAAAACACAACTTGAAAGCCCCTGACTGTATTTTGTGAACTTAAGCTGTTTAAATTTTACACAAAAGGGATACCTAAAAGCTTTGCTTTTTTTGTGAAATTTATATAAATTACAGCTATTAGGGGGTGTCAAGTTCAATTTTTTTACGGCAAAAACCGTAAAAAACTTTCCCGTTGTAGCATAATTTTACGTAAATTTTACGAAAACAGGAAAGTTTTATGAATCCCGTTCTCGTAAAAACATAAACAGGTAAGTTTACAACCCAAATTTAAAGACCTCACCTGGGCTGTTTCACTCTTGGAAGAAGGTGGACTAGAGAGTGGATGCAAGCACAACCTTTCATCCTCTTACCAACAGTTTTCTCCTTGCCAAGCGGATAATCGAGGCAAAAAAGCCAAAAAGTCTTGATCATGGTTTACAAGTGATCATAAGAACTCGGCAAAGTTTTTTTACAGTTAAAACGTAAAAATTTTCCCGTGTTTAATTTTTTTTGATGTAAAAATTTGAACTTGACACCCCTTATTGTGGCAATTGTTTTCATGATTTTTTACATATTTTTTGAAAGTTCAGACAAGTTGTCCAAAAAAAGCTTTGCAAAACAGAAACAATGTCAAAAGGCCAACTTGAAACTCCCTATTGTTATGACATTATGAGGTGGGATCATGAGCCCAAGCAATCTTGCTGCATTGACCGCAAAAAAGAAATGCTGAGTTCATAAAGTCTTGCATAAATGTTATGAAATCAGGATTTCTTGAACAACATCACACATTTTCAAGAGCAGCAAACACACATACATTTACAGCAATGAGAAAACCCAAATGATTAAAAAACAAAGAAAACTAGACAAACAATGGGAGGTGAAAAAGAAAAGAATGTCAAGACTGATATAATAAGCAGCAAACACCCACAAAAGAAAAAATGGCCTCTCAAGAAGCTGTTGATTGCTACTGACTGTTGCTGACTATCTTGTTTTACATAACAGGAAAGGTTTTTATGGTACTTTAATATCTTAAAAGGTTTCCCTGTTTTTTTAAGAAAAGACATGAAAATCCTGACCTGAGCCCCCTTATGAGTTTGAGTTATCATAAAGCTTATTCAATCACTCTCATTGTATACTTTTTCTCTTCATCAAACCCAATCTCTATTTGTTTTAACAGTCTTTGTTCCTCAGATTGTCTATCTCATCTAATTAGTGTGTTTGCTTTATTATAACAAGCTAGTAAGATTTTCTTCACAGGTTTCTCACTCAATTAATGTCACCAAGAAAACCCAAACTACATCCAAGTTCCTTGTGGATACAACCTGCAAACCTCAAATGCAGCTAGACTCATTAATCCAAATCAGATAGGAATCCAGACTGTTGTTCACACCTGTCTGAATTTCCAAAAGCAAACAACACATGTCAAAGATCTTTTGAGAGGTTGTGATCAAAGAATGTGAAAATAAGATTTTCATCATGAAATCTATTGCAGTACTGCTCCAAATGTTCCACCAAAGTCAAAATAGCATGTCTCTATAACAACAACAACAACAACAATAGCATACAACATCACCAGAATATGAGCAAAAAAAGTATTATGAAAAAGTAACATAAGAAGTATTACGAGATAAATGTTTATTTCCATTTCCACTTCTTTTACTTTTACTTTTTCTTCTTTTCATAGTTCTGACCGAAGTAGAATCACTACCGATACTTGTATCAATTTCATTTCTTTTCATTAATCCACAAATCCCTCCACTACTTATACAACTAAACGTCATCAATCAAATCAGAATCAATCAAATCAGATTTTCCCTCATATTGATTGAATTTAAATTAAAAAAAGAGATTGAAAACTTACAAACATCCACAACCAGTGGGACACATCTGTTCATCCTTCCACCAAGTTCTCATGCACTCAACATGTCCTAAAAACCAATCCAAAGAAAAATTCGTATGGTTTAAAAAACAAAGTGATCAAGTCAAGAAAAAATAAACGAGAAACGTGCTTTGGACTTACCACCATGAAAACATTGTAAACAATCTTGAGCAAGTCTAGGAACTTTTTTATGACAAATTGAACAAATCGGTAATTTTCCAATCCGATCACAAACCACACAAATCCTTTCTAAACTTTCCAAACAACCACCACATCTACCACAACGTAAAAATAACTCTAAAATAAAACCAAAATAAACATCATATCACATTAGCATTCAAAAATCAAATACTCTAGATTGTGTTATAAGATTTTCTTTTTACCTATTGTACAGCTTTCGTCTATTCCAGATAATCCTTGAGCTCGAGATCTTGAAGAAGTATCGTATTGTGTATTTGGATCACTAGCTCTTAACATCTTGACTACCATTGTACGTTCTACTATCTTTTCTCTTCGAAGGAGTAAATCACATAAAAAGTAGCGATAACATTCCAGTTCGGTTTGTAAGCTTGGATCATCAAGTGTATCCGATAACCTAAGAAATTTAAATCCGGGAGTCAGTCAGGATAATTAAACTGATGTAACATTTCCTAGAGGTTTTGATTCAACTTCATTGAATTCTCAACACGATTTGATAGATGAAAATTCATCGAACGCACTCTATTTCATCGCGCCTGTATTCAATCACCCGGTAGACTCTTCTTCGTTGTGATCTCAATCCGTTAGCGTTTTTCGTAGCCATATCAACATGACTCTCATCAGTACTAAAGCTAACATTCTTCTCATGTGGTAAACTACTACCTCCTTCTACACGTCGTTTATAAGAAGCCGAATCATATGCAGCAGGGCTAACTCCCAACTGTTGTTTAAGTTTAGCAACAGCTTTATCAGTAGAAGAAGTAGTAGATGCACTATTTTGAATTTGAGTCAAAGAAGATGAAGACGTTTTTGAAGCTCCAATTGGGACTTGATTTAAGGTGGATGAAAGTCCAGTACCACCAGTGAGTGAAAAAAAAAATTGACTCCATGATCCTTTGGATGGTGATTGAGATGATGATTCAATACCAGATGTGGGATCAGGAGTTTCACCTGATCGAGCACTACTTGATGAGGCAATACCTGCGTGTGGCTGGTTTACCGACTTCGAATTGAAGTAGTCTGTTGGAGTAGTCACTTGTTCGTCATTTTTCTCATCATACTCCATGATGTTGTGTTCTGGATGCCCCAAGGAACGAAAAAGCATATCAGATGAAGTCACATATCGAAGCGAACGTCTCCCCCCCCCTGCTTTGAGGACTCACCACGTCGGTTCATTTCCAGGACACAAGCCACATACCCCAAAGTCTCGAAATCTTTCACAGCCTTGAGATGGCCAATCCTAAACAATTCAATAAAGAATGGATCAGTAAGCGCTCATCTGAGTTGATGGAGAGACTAACCAAGTCTCACAAATTGAAAAATAACGAGGAGTTTCTTTTATTGATTTCACAATCACGTAGACCGCGACTTCCTTTGAGAAAGACCTCAATTGACATCCAAATCTTATGTCGACTTTTATCAATACGGAATGCCAGAGTTTTTGCGCTTTCAGCAATCTTCTTTGCATCAAATGACTGTAGGGCCGGAATCGGAACAGGTTTCATAAGATCAATAGTTTCGATAGATACAATCGTCGAAATTTCGCGTTGAGGTAGGGAATTGGTCGTTGGAGGTGGATTTGGCTTCTGAGATACGGTACCGTAACTGTTCAGACTACAAAGGGATGATTGATGAGAAGGAGAAAAAGAACACACCGATGGTAGACGCCGTGACATTGGCAACCTTAATGCATCGTCTGATTCTGATTCCTCGTCAGAAAGGTATGCCCGATTAGTAGGCGATAAAGCCAAGGTACCAAACGCTTCGAATTTATAATTCCGCTTTATGGTGGGTGGGATAGCACTGGGTGCATTGCTAGGTGAGGTATCACCGCAGTAAAATCTCACAAGCTGACCTGTGTGGTATAAACTTCAAACCATTTAGGAACTGGAACATATCTTATGATGTCTTGATCGATATGAGTCGTAGACTGACCATATGAGTTAAACCAAACTCCTCCACGTCGAGGTGGGGGTACATTGGTATTATTTTGGAGGATATCTGGACGCATTCCAACTTCAGGATCTCTCATCTCTTCATCCGAGTCCACATATCGTTCAACCTTTTCTGTTTCCATCAAAGACCGATCACCGAGTAAAAATTTCAAACAAATCTCCAAAGCGCCTGGCTCTTGCTTTCGAACTCGTTCTTGCATCAATTCACGGGCTGATTTTAATAGATAGGCTCTTGTACGAGCGCTAACATCTGAGCTTCGCTCTATCTCGATTGAAGGTGGTTTGAGCTGTGGGTAGGCTTTGGGAAACGTAAAGGTTGCGCGAACGAAGGCGATACCTTCACGTGCCGCCCAAGGGCCATAGAGGCCCACAGAACAAGTCCTGGCTTGTACTGTCAGTTGTTCAAATGTGACCCGCGGTAGATTACGCTGAGCCGAGGTGAGCTCTTCTCCTAGGGTCGGGGCAGTTTTGTGACAAGCTTCTTGATTAAGGTCAGTCGGCGAAAAAACTTGACTGTCTCTTGAAAGTGATCTAGTATAAGTGAGACCACCAGAGACCGTAAGCTGGTTACTTTCATGATCCGCGCATTCCGAAGGTCGATAAAGTTTTATGCCTTCCATCCATGTGAGCCGATTGCTAGACAAGTCTGCCACTCCAAGTGTAGATTGTCGGGTCATGAAGCCAGGATGTCGCACAAAACGCCTGGCGCCTTGTATCTTGGTTTTTCGCTTTTGAGGAGACTTTACTCCTTCGGAGAGTGTGACAGCTCGGTTCCGAGGTGAAGGAGTATGAGTATGCAAGAAGGCATTCGTCATAGACGAGCCAGGGGAAGATGAATGTTTGCCTACTCTGAAGGGAGATGCCGACATCGAAGGTGGACTAGGGACGAATGGAACTGTCAGACTCGAATGTCTGAAGCTTCGATTGGTGGATGTCCCTTTACGAGTGACCCGGACATCAATTGGGGAGCCGAGTTTGAAGCCAGCTTTGATTAGCACGTCTTGACTAACGGGCCACAGTCGAAGCTTTCGATCATTTCCCCATGTAACCAGTTGAAATTGCCGATCATCGGAAGCTGAATTTTCACCACCTCGAGTCCTCCAAACGAACTCTCGTACTGTGTCTCGATGACCAGAAAAAATTGCAATCGGCTTGGTCGGACAACTCTGTGACCACATACTCAGGACATGGTCAGAACGCTGGGGTAAGGTCATCACACCATGTCCAAAGGGCAGATGCCTAGCCCTTCGCACAGGAGATGGGGTCTCAATCGTCTGAATGGGAGCTTCGGAATTTTTTGTCGACCAAAACTATGGCATCGACCGAGAAGGTCAGCAAGTCATCAACTATTGTACTGTGCAAAGGTGATTACTTTGACGGTCTTATCTAGACTACAGGTGACTATACCATCTGGCGATCGGCGAGACCAATCCACTCCATATATCTTTTCGTCATGGGCCTTTATCTCAAGTAGAGGAATCGCCGGCCGCTATATTATGAAGAAAAATAACATATTAGCAAGGTACAAGATTACACCTCACGGTAAGGCGGTTGAATATACGCACACGGGTGTCCCATATCAAGACGCGAGAGTCGTGCGATGAGGCCAAAAGGTGGGAGTTTTGCCGATTCCATTTCACCTGAGTGGCCGGTGCTATGAAAATAAAGACGAATATCTTATCATTTGGTATTGAGATCTAGACTGACCCTTCACAAAGAAGACCTACAGCCCCAAGCACAAAACCCTTGTACCGCTCTGCTACCAGAACGTAGATCAAATGCGTATGTCCAGGAGTCGATTCCACAAGTAGCTAAGACATCAACATTGCTATTGAATGAAATCGAGACGTCAGAGCTGCTTGGGCCAATTGGGTTGTCTTGAGCATTCCCCACTTACAATACCGACCAGTTGATATCACATCTTCAAGCCAGACATGATGGGATGTCAGAACACGGTTGAACGCGAGTATATGCCAGAGGTCTACTCGAGTGAATATAAACTGGCGCACATGGCTCTAGTGTGTGCCTCCAATACAAATTGAATGGGAGACTGAGCGGTTCGATCAGGATTGAGGGTTGGATCTCCGGACATGTTCAAGTTGGAAGTCTTTCGAGAAGCCGTTTGGGAATGATAGGGTAGATCCAAGTTCCAGATCAAGGCCTTTTGGGATGACTAGAGTTATCAAGAAGGCAGATAGGGCGAACAATCAACTATAAAGTCGTTATATCCATCAGAACAGATAGCTCACTGTTGAAGCGACCCAGCTCCTACGTTCCGGATGTGGTGACCACTGTATATCGGCAACATCCCAAGTAGCAGAGTGTGCCAAGAAACGAGGTGGCTCGTAAGGGTGATTCAGATCTATGACGAATAGACCTTTTCGACTAGTTCATCCCGACATCGTTATGGATAAGAACAATGAGCCTTGCATCGGAAGCTTCGCTTCATCTTGGGAAGAAAAGCCCATCTCGGTTCGCGACTCACGCTCCTAGAACCACATCACGATTTTCAGGGCTGTTGAATGATAAGAAACGTGATTCGATCCAGGGTTAGTAACAATCGAATCGAAATACCAGAACGTATAGCAACTATTGACCTCATGCTGAGGCATCCCACCGGCTCGTTTAGTGAAAGTTCGAAAGTTTGATAAAAAGTGTCTGATGGATCAGCCATCGTGCGTGATGTTCAGACCGAGGATGTATTGTTGATGGCGTTGATGAAGACCAGAGTATGGAACTCGATCGAAAGTTGCTGAGAAAAATCTTGGTGAGACCGCAGCAGGTCAATCCATGTCGCGGGACACTCAGCATACATCCAATCTTTGGTTCATGATGTGTCTTTCCTCACTTGACAAAACAACATCATCAACTAATCCTTGACAGTCCTGGACATCGCCATATCTGTGCACACACCACACCCGGCAGTATCAAGAAGGACCCAAAACATGCTGCTAGGATGAGAAAAGGAAACAGACATTCAGAATCCCTCACGCTATTCCCTCACCTGTGATCCGGGAACCACATCCATCTCATTATGTCCAACCCCACTGAGCGATTTCAAAAATTGGCCTTGAAAAGTATCTAACTACTCAAAAATAGGCATGCATCTTCTGGTATAATCACGATCGTGAGGCATAAGCACAGCTTTGAACAAGAGTTTTTGGTCATCAAGAGCGCAGAAGTTTAGACTATGACCATGTACAAGACTCTTCTCACATTGTTGGATTTCTGACTCACAATTGGATACTCTTTGACGTGCCAATGGCCATACCCACGCTAACCAGCAGGTCAAGTTCCTTTTTTTTAGCGCTCAACCATGTACCTTTCAAAACCTGTGTCTGTGTACCAAATTGAAAGGAATCAATTCACAGCTTTTCTCACTTCTCAAGGAGATTGGACTGTTCAACAAGGGTACATGAGGGAGTACAATAAACTCTCTCAAAACATCCATAGGGGTTTTCTCTATAATAAAAACTAAGAGAGCAAGTGAAATAAATTTGCAAGTGAATAAAGCAAAACAAAAAATCAATCAACTTCTTGAGCTTGCAATTGTACACATCTCCTTATGATTTGTTATTGGTTTTCATCAGATGGTTTGTATGAAGTAGTAGACATTGCACTTGATCTGAACTACACACATAGCTTAACACACGCGCCCCACCAACCACGGCACTTGGAGTGTGGAGCCTGCCCTATACTCCACAGGCTCCAGAGGACAAGTCAAGTGGCTAATCTGAACCGTACGGATCATCATTAGCGTGTTCATATTGCCACATAAGCCAATCATCATGCAACTGAGCTTCCAATTCTTCATTTTCCTCGTCATACCAATCACCTTCATCAGAATCATAATCAAAATCATGAGCATGTTTATCAAGACTCAATCCAATTCCAAGAGTTAGGAGAAACCCTTTACGTTTCTAATTTGCAAAACCCCCCCAAAAAAAAAGAAAGCCAAAAGAAAAATTAAAAATACAAAAGATTAAAAAAATGAAAATAAAAAGGAAAAAAAAATCAACTCAAAAAATGTTCATATCTTCTGTTCTTTAAGTAGCCATTGAATGTTTATTTACACCTTTCCAAAGAAATCCCCAACATAAATAACGAAAGACTTATAGAATGATTACAATGCAGAACTTTGATTGAATAAGCTAAAAAGGATCAAGAGAGACTGCAAAAAGAATATTAACAAATTCTGTATTTCTATGTCAACATGTATTTACTTCATCGTTTGTAAATCAAATTAGATCCATTGAAAATCAAGTGCTCAAAATTCTATTGTTTAATAAATGCAAATGCAATATAAATACCTATTAAAAACATAACATTCAAAAAGAATAAGTTGAATTGAAAAATTAAGAGGAGAAAATCAAAACCCAACAAATATAATCTAGAAAATAGACTAACCAGCAGCATCCCATTGATCATCAGACATTGAACATTGACCAGCAGAATTAGTCACCTCCATTCGATTCAATAATAGTCTATTATGAGCTTCATAACGTTCTTGTTCAAAAATCTGATGAAATTCTTCTCTATAAATCAATTTTAATCCATACTCTGCGGCTAATCTATCAAACCCCCCCAAAAAAAATTAAAAATCAAAAATCATCAATCTATCATTTCACTCTTTCAATTTTACAAACAAACAAAAAACTCACTGTACAAACGGTTCCCAAAATACAATATATTCTGGTACACGTTCTACTGCATCTTTTAAATAAAATAAATATTTAAATCCATATAACGGTCTAGGTTGAAGTGATGGAAATGTAATTTCATAAACTGGATTACCCCATACATTCCTTTCTCCTCTCATTTTATCTAACCGAGCGCTAAAGAAAACAAAGGCTTAAATTCATCAGTTTTAACATGAAAAACCGGAGCTCATAATGTTAGAGATCACAAACATGAGCAAGTCTGGGTTGGGAATCGTCCCGATGAATACCCCACCCTTGATTAGGTGTGTACTGACGTTCCTAAGCATTGTTCTTGCTTTCTCCTCAGTCTCAAAAGCATAGTGCATACAGAACTGTAGTGAGACAACATCAAAGGGTCTTTCTAATTCTTGAGGCTGTAAGACAGTTGTAATATCAACCTATATATTTCGACCAGGAGGAAAAAATTATTAGACTTATGCAGCACCCATAATGGATAAAGAATATGACGACAGGAAGAGGGCATACGGAGAAACAATCTAGAGCAGTCAGTTTTGCAAAATACTTTTGGCGAGAAGTTTCTTGATACCGTTGTCGAGCTTGATCAATCGAAACAGCCGCAATATCTATAAAATCAAATACAAAGCTATAAAATTACATGCTCAAAATAGACGACAAGAATATAAATCTTTTAGTATTTATAGAAACTTTAACATACCGAATCCATAAAGTTCTTCTACACCAGCTTTTTGCCATTTAGCTAAATCACCACCTTTACCACAGCCTAATTCTAAAACTTTAACTCCTCTAGTGATGGGTCGATTAGGTATATTTTGGATAGTATATGAATCTTTATGCGCAAATTTTCCGATGATTACTGATTTGATCCAATTATTGAATTTTCTTAAACCAAAGATTGGGGATACAACTCGCTCATCTTTGCCTTGATTTGGTCTTGAGTTATCTTTTTTTTCTCAAAAGATTTTATACAGACATCGGTATGGAAACGATGAAGCCCGTAGGAAAACGCAAAACAGAATCAAGAAAGGCAAATGAAACCTCATTAATTCACGGAGAAAATGATTTCTAGTAGGTGTGTGAAGTAATTTGACTGACAATGCTGTGCAACTGCTTCACTAATACTTTGACTTCCGTCCATAAGAGGTTGATCGCGTGGATCTGATATCCGACGCCGTTTGTTGTCAGTGATCGTGTCCGTTCTGTCAGGGGTAGGTTCCGCAGATCCTGAGCGTGCCCTGACACTTCGTATCCGACCTGAAGGATGGATGGGGGAAGCTTGGGGCCATTTTGGAGACGTACATGACTTGGGAGGACCTTCAATGATAACAGGTGATGGGGTAGAATAATATGGAGGTGAGCGATGGGTAGCCTTGGTTTGATTGTTTTCTTGATCAGGTATATGTCTTGGTGGTTGTCGGGATTCAGGGCCACCGATGTTGTTTGATCTCTGAGGAATATCGATAGCTTGAGTTGCTTGCTGAGGATTGGTGGAAGGCTTTGAATCAGGTGTATTAATCCTTGGGGCTCTTTGAGGTTCTTGAGATGTGATGAGATTACTGATATGAGAGGGAGGCAATGAGCGCGATAAGTTTTGAACAGGGAGTACAGGTCTACTCTCTATGCCAGCCAGCTGGGATTGTGTGTTCATAGTTTGAGGACGGCGCGGTTCGACATTTTGTGGAAGTCGATTGGTGTTGGCAGATTGAGCTGCTCGATTGAAGAGAGGGTTGGCGGATCGATCTTGATATAGTTGAACTTCTTGATCGGTATAAGGTAAGAAGAGGGAAGTTGCAGGGGTCACACGCAGAGGATGATATGCGATGCGGTCCATTGAAAATAAGAAGTATGAAGTTTAATAAGTGACCTTAAGATCTTTCAAGTTGATCAATCAAAGCAATTCAATTAGTTAGTAATTTGATAGTTACTTCAATGAGATAGAAATCTGAAGAATCCATGAAGCATTTGTGTTGTACTCACTTTGAAGATATTTCATAAATTGGTTCACTTGGATGAGGCAATTGGAATCACTCGAAATCTTTCTTCCTCAACCCCGGGTTCATAACCCGATCCAATCACTGATACCCGGTCTTCAGCACGGTGACGGTATTCATACAAGCTACATCGGGCCGGTGTGGTACACGAATGTCCATGAAAGCCTCCATGTGCTTCATCCATTCGCTTCTTTGTTATTGCTGTTCATCGTCTTCACATTTTTGATCTTATCCAAGTGACAAGCACGTCCTCTACTTTGTGCACATTCAATCTTATTGGCTAGACAATGACATTTCTAGAGAAGTTCGAGGATAAAACATATCCACTTGTCAGAATATGATCCAGGAAAATTCTCGACCTCAAATGGAATGAAGTCGGCCAGCCGAGCTATCCCAATCCTTCATTAGGGTTTGGGCAAAAAACCAACCGACCAGTTTCTGAAGTCCATTGAGTTGTAATTCAGTTTTTTACAAATGCTCAGGAACAATTGCTAAAACAATATCAAAGCCGACAAAAAACTTGTCCTTTGCTTTGCTTTGCAAAAAAATCACCAAAAGTGAACTGGTGGGTGGTGTTCTTGATCATTCTAAAGCCGGAACAATTAAAAAGACAAATTTAAGCAATTTGCAACACTCAAATTTGCTTCTTTAGTGTATTAAAAAATTGTTATAAAATGGCCTGGTGTGAAGGCTTAGTAGTCCGGCTCATAGTAGAAAAAACAAGTGATTTTGTACGGTAGTTACAGTATTTATCTACACAGAAATCAAAAGCACTTTAAAAAAAAGCCACATAGACAACATCTTTCCACCTTTCACAAAGCAGAGCCAGGTACCACCTATGCTCTTTTGGAGCTCAGCTCAGTTGAATGGCCTGTCTTCAGACCCAAACACTGACTTTGAGTGACCTGGCAGAGCAACAGGTCTGTGAAACCTGCACACAGTTGTTTCTGGCCATCTTTGACTTGCTTTGACTTGCTTCTCAAAGGCACAAAACTGGTTGGTTGGTTTTTTGCCCAACCCCTACACTGCCAGCAAAAATGCCTTGGATTGTAAAATCCAAGGTATCCTCAGGTATATGTTCCCTCTGACTGTGTGTCCAAGACGTCAATCCAAGGCGTTCTTTGCCCTCAAAAATTGCCTCGGATCATTTACTTGGACATCACGTCCAAGGCTATTGCCATCTGAGGCATCTTTGTTGGCTGTGCTATTATGTGATGATGTCTTGATTGCTCCAGATATACCTTCAGACATTTTAGGGGTGGGGCTAAAAACCAACCAACCAGTTTTTGAAGTCCATTGAGACATGATTCAGTTTTTTACAAATGCTAAGGAACAATTGCAGGAACAATATCAAAGCCAACAAAGAAACTTGTTGTTTGCTTTGCTTTGCAAAAAAATCACCAAAAGTACACTGGTGGGTGGTGTTCTTGATCATTCCAAAGCCCAAACAATTCAAAAAACAAAAGCAATTTGCACCACTCAAGCCACATAGGGATGTGGTATAAAGTTTTAGGTGTCAGTGAGGACCAAGGTGTTGGGTAGTAGGAGCAAACAAAGCGAGTTCAAGAAGAGACAGAAAATCTGTTGCCAAATGGGTTCAAACCTAAACTTATCAAATTCCCCCCCACCCAAGTAGTCAAGGGAGGGACTTACAGCTGATGTCCTGTTTTTATACTCACAACAGCCAGATTTTTGGCCACTTTTCCACTTTTGGCCATTTTGAGGGTTCCAAACCTCATAGAATCTTACATTCAACTGCACAGAGCTTCCTTGACATCTTGTGTGTCTCCTGGTCCTGATTTCAGATCTTCATTGTGGATGGATCTGATGCTATTGGGATTCTTGGACACTGTGTTTTTGAGCACAACAATACACTTTAGTGGTCCTGTATCAAATTTGGTGTTCCAGCTAACGCTTTTTACAACTCTTGTGAGTGGGCTCATAAAATACAATGGATACAAAAAAAACACAAGGACATGTACAAGGTGCAAATGAAGATCCTTGCAAAAGGAAGCAAGATTTGATGAGGTCTGTGACCCTCATAGTGGGCAAAAACAAAAAAATGACCAAAAATCTTGCTGTTGTGAGTATAAAAACATGTCATTTATGGGATACAAAGTAGAATCCGGGCATGTGCCCGGCTTTGTGCCTGGAATTATCTTGGCAGTAAATTTTGATTTTCTGGGCAAAAGTCCGGGCCCAGAATTCAAATTTACTGCCAAAAAAAATCTGGGCACAAAGTCGGGCATATTCCTGAATTCTACTTTGTATCCCGTAATTACACCGCGGGAATTGATAAGTATGAAACTCGATTGAGCGAAGTTGCGGTGTCCAAGTCCGCAACTTCCTTCAATCACGGGTTTCGTTTGCAATACGTTCACATTACGTTTGCAGGTTCCCCTCGGGCTGCCCTGTATCCGCACGTCTAGTCAAATTTCATGTATCATGTATCCTGTTTTGTCACGATTCAGTCTCCCTCAGTTCCTTTCACATGATGATCAGAGGCCTCAAAAGGGACCTTAACCACACCAGTAACTTATCAACACGCTCGTTCTTAGCTTGTTCTCAAATCCACATAAGGTTAACTCCAATGGTTCTTGAGTGACATCAACAACTTGTTGTATCAATCCTTTGAGATAGACCTGTTTATCATTCTGATTGAGGTATTTTTCCATACATAATCATCGAAACAAAGTCTAAACACAAATAAATTGATCAAATTCGAGATCGATTTCAAAGAACGATTACAAACAGAATCGAAATCGAACAAAAAAATGCAAATATAAGAATTAGGAAGAGAAAGGACAATCATAATCCTACATGTAGATTTTCTGATTAAGAGAAACAAGAGGGGATAGGTATTTGAATTAATTGAGAAAGATACATGATTCATAGCATGAAAGTGAATCAAACAAAGAAAGAAAAAAACGAAGGAAAACAAAGCTACAAGAGTAATTTACATAGAAATTTTATGATTGAAAAGAAATGTAAATGAGTTGATTTGTCAAAACAAAAGAAAGAATTCTAAAGAGTGAAATCATCATGTGTTTTTATGAAAACCTAAGACAGAAAAAAGGATTTCAAAAGAGTATCAGAGATTTGTTTTGGATTTTGATGCAGTGAAGCAGGAGTTTGTTGGACTTACGTTAAAAGAGGATTGAAAGTGTCCACAAAAAGAGAGGACAAAAATGAAAGACGAATTTTTTCTTCTACTTGAGGATCTATGAGGGTCTACATATGTAAACGTGAGGGCAGCTCGAGGGGAACCTGCAAACGTAATGTGAACGTATTGCAAACGAAACCCGTGATTGAAGGAAGTTGCGGACTCGGACACCGCAACTTTGCTCAATCGGGCTTCATACTTATTAATTCCCGCGGTGTTAGCCGTAAGTCCCTCCCTCAACTACTTGGACGGGGGCGACTTTGATAAGTTTGGTTCAAACCCAAGTTTTTTTCCCAGTTTCCCAGTTTCCAAACTACAGCCAAAAGCACCAAGTTGGGAAACTGGGAAACTGGGGAAACCCCCTCAGGTTTTGATGTTTGTATCCCATAAGTGTCTTTTCTTTCTGCAAATATATGGTCAACAGCATTTGGGACACCTTTTCAGGTGTCCCAGATTTTCACATTTACAGTCAATTTTGGCAAGTTGTTGCACTGTAAAAATACCGTAAAAAACACAACTTCAAACCCCCTACTGACTCGAAAAAGAAAATTTTGGTATTCCAAATTCTCTTGCTACATCTTTCATGTTTCAACTTTTAGATTTTTTCCAAAAAGACAATCAATCATAATACTTCTGCTCATCACACAAGACAAATCTGTTCCACAAATCTCACATTCTATGAAAAAACCTGGACCAAAATCTGTTTAAAAAAGGTCTGTATTACATTAAAGAGGTTATAGTGGACCAAAATGGGCATTTGAGAAGGGGAGTTGTCTATGTATACCAGGATGATGAATCCTAAGATTAAATTAAATCAAATTACAATAATTAATAAAAATCTTAAACCAGAAACCAAATTATAAAGCCTTTTTCTGTTGTAAAAAAATACATCATACATAAAACCAAGTTTCAAAAGTTTTTCTCAAAATCAAAAGCCAAAAAGCCAAAAAGAATAAAGAAAAAAAGAAAACAAACCTATAGAATTAATCAGTATAACTTATCCAATTCTTTAAAAAAAATCACTTTAAAACCTCAAGATATATATAAAAAAACCCAAAACCAAACAAACTTAAACCAAACAAACAACCCAAATAACCAACCTCCCAAAACCTTAAACCCAACCCTTTCACCCCCAAAACAGTCAGAAAACTACCCCTCCCTTCAATCTGAATCAACTACAAATATACACTCAAATAAGAAATTTAATGTAGTCTAAAAATAATTTTCAGATCCAATTAAACCAATTTGATCATCTCCAATCTCATCATCTAAAACTCTAACGATTTCTCTACACTGAATAACTTCTAATCTATTATTAGCTCTACCAACACTCAACATCATTTTATGTCTTTAATCCAACCCACCGCCAAAAAAAAACAAAGAAAAACTCAACTCAAACTCAAATTAAACTTTAAGGAAAAAATAAAGAAACTTACGGATGAAATCCAAGTGAAGTCACCGATTTAATGGTTGAAGAAATCGAAGATGATGATTGGATTTTCCGACCGATCGTATTACTTAATGAACTTCGATTTAATGAATGATGAGGTGTAGAATAAAATGATTTTAATGGAACTCCAAACAATTCAGAACTGATATCCCATAATTTCACTTTACCATCAATCGATCCACTAATCCAAATCAAAAACCAAATCAAAACCTTAATTTGAGTCTTTGTGTTTGTGGGTTGGTTTGGTTTTCATTTTAAAAGTTAAGAACAATTTACTTACGTAGCAAAAACAGGAGCATGTTCATGTATATCTAATGCAGGCATTCCATCATCATGAGCTCTAAAGAACCTAAGAGGTTGATCAAGTCTTACATCCCATTGAACCACATCACCACAACTATCACCTGAAACCAATTCTCTTTGACCACCACGTTGCATATGTAAGGTATGAACCCAAGACCGATGAATAGCTTTATAAACTCGTACCATCGAACTCTTTAAAGATTCTCTACGATCATAAACTCGAATCGATCCATCTCCAAACCCAGCACAAATTATAAAACTTGAAACATGATCTGAACTTAATGAAGTTAAAGGTGAACCTGATCTGGTCTTGATGTTTTCGATACACATCTCTTTTTTCGAATTCCATACTTTAATCTCTCGACTATCTCCTCCACATAATAATAAACCAGATGACTGTTGCCAATCTAATATTAATCCAGATGATCCTACTTTACTTGGTTCGGAATTCGGTAATGATTTAAATCCGGTCACTAATTCAGGCTTTCTTTCATAATTTCGAAAAATCCTTACATTTCCATCAGCTATAACCCCAAAAGCAAAAATCAAGTTAGTTTCTTTTTCTGAAATCTTCAAGATCTAAAAACTAAAGAATTACCAACCTGTACCAGTAAGTACTAAAGCAACATCATCTTCATTTACCAACTTAACACTAGTAATCCTACTACCACCTCTTCTATCATCTGAATTCTTAAACCGATTCAATTTAATCTTATTCTCAGTATCATAAACCCTATGATAGACAAAAGAAACCCAGAAAAAGTTAATCAATCTTATCCAAACTCTAATCATTAATGAACTTAAGATTTCAGTTGACGCTTACGTTAAGTATCCATCTATATCACTTGTAATGATTTGATCTTCGAATTGATGCATCACCACCTGACTCACCACCGATTCAGTTTTCCATTCATTAACAATCCTATCCCAAGGTAATCGTGCTATCAAACGAAACCAAACTCAATCAAACTTTGACCAAGAAAGTTTCAAGTGTTTTAAAATCACTTACCTGCATCAGCTTTCAAAGGTTGACTTTCCAAAATAATCTTTTCATTCCTATTCTTTCTCCACAAAGCTTTGATCTGAGCTAACCCACCTGCATGGTGACCTGAATGATTCCCAACTTTCTCTTCATTCATCAAATGATCTTCTCCTCCTTCTCCCGAATCAAAACTTTCTTCACCTACCATTCCAACTTCTTTATCTGCCATCCTAGGTTTCAAAAACACAAAACAACTTAAATTATAATACGATGATCTTAACGGTAAGTTTCTTTTCCTTTGATTGCCTTCTACTTTTAATTCTTCTGAATCATGTAATCCAAGATAAATTAAATAATCAAACGTACTTTCTTGATGAGTATTCACAGATTTCGTTAAGAGTGGATAAACCCTTTGTCTTTGTCTTCTTTCATCATCTGATAATCGGGTCCGTGCAATTATCGTTTCTAATGGAACTTCACTTGATCCTAATTTAGATCTTCTTTCCCATAATAAACTGATGGGTGTATCAATTGAAGATGGATTTGATGATGATCTTGGATTAGCACGAGTTTCTTCTTCACTTTTTCGATCTGTACCAACATTCACTCCTACATTTCTTAATCGGTTTTGTAATCGAGATGGTCCATCTTCGGTGGTTTCTGGTGATCTTGCAAATGGAGTCTTCCATCCCGTATTCTTTACAAAGTTAGGTACAAGTTGATTAACCGTACTTAATGAAGGAAACACACCACCACCACCAGTAGGTCTACGTGAACTTGATGTTTCATTCCCATGATGATGATGATGATCTTCTTGTCGGTTTGACCAAGTTCTTCTTCTATCTCTATGTTCTTCATCTTCATCCTCTTCTTGTTCTTCAATTAATTCATCTAATCCAAGTCTTAATCCTAATACACTAGAAGTTAATCTAGAATGAATATAATCTACAACAATGATGGCAGCTTCTGAAACTTCTTCTACAGGATCAAGTGTAAGATCTAAAAGGATTTGATAAATACTACTATACTGTAACCACAGATAAGGTTTGATCGATTCATTACCATTCATACTCGTTTCACGTTCATTGGATTCTAATTGATTTAATAATTTTTCTAATTTAATCGATCTATCAGTCAATGGTTGTTGTGAAAGATAATCTTCAATGACTTCTTCATTATTTTCAAACCCGTTTCCATACTTTCTAGCATCTTCTTCATTCCTATACTTTTTAATTAAATCCGATGTTTTCATCACTTTAGCTTCTTCATTACTTTGACCTGCTAAGAAAGCTGCCACAATAAATTCACCTAAATGTTGATCAACTAATGCAGATAAGACGATCACTAATTCTTTTCGTAACATTGGTGATCCATCATTGGATGAATGACAACAAACCATGGCACTATTGACTTCAATCGAAACTTGTTCTTCATATCCAATCCGACTCACCAATGGATTACACGAAGAAAGACTATAAAGTTTATTCGATTGAAATTCATTGGGTGGGATTTGTTTCCTGATCTCTCCACTTAATCCTTCACCTGTTCCACTTAATTCATCTTCAATTTCTCCTATTCCATTCGGATCAGTCGAAACTCCTAATAAGGTTCCAAAGGCATACATTGCTGCTGTTCTAACTTCTGGTACTGTATCAGTTAATAATTCACTAACAACTGTATGAACTCCCATTCGAATCGCTCTACCTTTAGCAGCTCCAGATTGTTCCCAAAGGTGTGCTAAGAGGATAAGATACCATTGACGTTGAGATGCTACAAGTTCAGGTAATCGATGGACTAAAATCTCTAGTACACCTAAATTGAGTAATCGATTCGCATGTGCAGGTAAATTTTTACATCCGATTGATAAAATGAATGCACACATCGCTTTATGATCTACTACATTGGCTACTGGTAATAATTCAGGTGTATGAGGTGCTAATAAACGAACAAAATATTCGACGGGTGCTGCATCAGGTCCTGCATGAGGTCGTCCTGGACCTGGTCTAAACAATTCCATCCTTCCTTCAGGATAAACTGTTAAGATTCTAGCCCAAATGAAGATTAACACCGGTCTGAGTTCGGCAGCTGGTGCTTGAAGTAACTTGAGTACGTATTGAAAGATACCAATCGAAAGAGATAAATGAACAGCCCATGGACCTAGATCCATAAATCTACAAAGTAAAATCAAAGCACGTAATCGATGTAACTGAGAAAGTAAGACTTGAAGAACGATGGGTAATTGGGGTGGAGAAGGTGGATATAAATCATCACCCGGTCGACTGTTGATCGGGAAATGTTTGATATAAGTAGGTAGACGATATCGAATTGGCCGTGGACGAGTATTCTCTTGTGAGGGTTGAAAAGCATGAGTACCATTGGTAGAAGCGGGAGTAGATTGAGTATGGGGTGCCATTGATGGTTTATGTTTACCAGCCAAACCTGCTGCCGATGTAGAAGTTGCGAGTGGAGTACTTGCGGCTGGTGGATGAGCAGTAGCAAAATCAGTGACCTCAATCCTATCCATCTTGACACTTGGCCAATCATTACAACTCCATCTTAACATTGTCTTTTGTTTCATAATCATTTCTTCATCTTTTTCACCATTTTCATCTGGATTATGTGCAACAATCTCTTTTAACCAAAGTTCAAAAGCGGTTAATTGTTGTGAAAAGAAAGTTGAAGTTCTATAAGGAATCACTTTAGGTGGGATTGAATTAGCTACTCTAGGTTTCTTTCCACTATCATATTCTGCACGAATTGCTTCGGAACGCCAAATTGCAGGTAATTGAGATAAACACATATCTACTTCTAAATCCCAACATTTCCATAATTCAGATTGATGAGTTGGTGGAAGTTTGGGCATAGAGATTGGTGTACAACCATAAGCCCTCATGACACGTTCGGCCAATAAGAAACCTCTAAAAAGAGCAGCTAAGACTAAATCACCACGAAAGATTCGAGTAAACAGATGACGATCGAGATGATTCCATGCGATTGCATCAGCAATTGAAGTAAAGATCCAAGTAAGTTCACCCAATGGAGTTCGACGCATTTCCATTCGACCTGGTACTTTATCAATCTTGCCTAAATCGTTGAAGAATTCGGCTGTTGAAGTCCAATTGGCATCACGAGCGTTATTGCGAAGAACATAAAACCGAAGAGCCATCTCGATGGGTGAACTTAGACAAGCTGTGAAGATATCTGCCGGTGCTTCAGGGTCACGAGGTAACATTTGATCAGCTTGACAAGCAGCAAGTTGAATGGTATCACTATATCGAATCGCAGGATTTTGAAGTAAAAATTGGGGTATTTGACTCTTTCCCACACTTGGACTTGTTCGACCACTACCAGATGGAGGTTCTGCCAAATTGGTCGAGGATGTCATAGGTGCAACTGATGGCCATTCATTAGATGAAGAAACACCACTACTTCCTTGAAGTCTTCTTAATTCCAATTCAGCTGCGATTTCTTCATCTTTTGTGGCAGAAGCTTGAATGATCGCATTCACAATATGACCTGCATTATTACAATCCCAAATGAAGACCGAGGGTGGACCAGCCCAAGAAAGGATATCGGCGATACTGATCGGGATATATTGGGTATAAGCCTTATTGAAAACCCATAATTCACCAGTTTGTGTTGGCTTAGGTACTCCATGACCATTATAATAAACCAAACAACGATCGTTTTTACTATACTTTCGTAAACCGATGAGTGTTTTTTTAAATTCTTCTGAATAAACGTCTGGATAAGTCTTGAATTTCACTCTAGCATGAGGAGGCGCAAGTGATTCGAATTGATCTTGTAGTCGTTTAGCTATCGTTTCTAGAACCGATTCTTTTGGGTACATTTTAGGATCTACCCAAGCTTCGAGTTTAGGAGCTGGTGAAGTCTTGACTACATCTGGTGGATCGAACCCCAGCCTAAGGCATAAGAAGAGTGCAGCACAAACTGTCCGATGTTTAACGGGTGGACGCCAAAAAGGAATCTGTTGATGAGGATGAGATTAGTAAGGTAAGAAACAAGAAAAGGACAATGAAGAAAGAGGAATGAAAATGAACCTGCTTAAGATCGGAAGGTTTGGTAGTTTTGTAAGGAGTATCATCCCAATACATAAAATAAGTTTTAGCTAAACCTTCTAAATATTCATCTGAATTATAAGCTTCATTGAAACCATGTCTTAATAAATGTTGTTGACGAGATTCATGAATCCTTAAACGAAGTAAACCATCTTCAGGTTCAGATGAATAAGCTAGCATTGAAGATTGAGGACTATAATCCGAATCATGAGATTGATCTGTGAATGAAGAATTTGATAGATTGTCTTCGTCTTCTTCTTCATCATCGTCATGATGATGATGATGTGGAATATAAGATTGAATTGGGTCTTCTCCAGTTTGATGATCTGAAGGAAATCTAAGTGAATTATCAGGAAATCGATGACGACGAGATTGTTGTTGATGACGACGTTGAAAGGAAGAAAGATAAGATGATCGATGGTTCGAATGATGAGATCGATGAGATCGATGTGAAGTAGATTGATGAGTGTTGTTGGTATTTTCGATAGCTTTTCCTGTTCCTTTACCTTTTCCTTTCACTTTTCCATTACCGTTTAGATTTTGATGAGTTTGAATTGAGTTTGATTCAGATGTTTCGATTGATTCACCATTCATAGTTTCATCAAACTCAAAGTTAATCATCTTCTTCTGTTTCTTCCAATCAAAGTTCCAAGAAGTGTTTGTTGATTAGTTGTTTTGATAAATAAATGAATTCAATAGTATGTAGAAACCAGTTCAACTCACCTTCAGATTCCAATTGGCTATGAATCAAATCTTAAAAATCTTCTCTCTTCTCATGGGACGCATTCATCTCAAGATTCCCGATTCATTCGGGTCAAACTCACACTCACGAGTCTCATCTCATCGGTACTTTACACTTTACACTCATCCGGATCTCACTAGCACACTTCAAAAGACTCATTTCAATTCTCAAAGAAGCCTAAATCTAATCATGAGTTAGATTGTATTCCAACACGATTATCTTGGATTGCATGATTCGGATAAAGTTTATGGATCGAATGAATTTGGAGTACGGTGATCATCGGACTTTCAAACCGCAAAGACTTTAAGAGTATATAACAAATGATATTGACTATATCCATCACATCTGATAATGCAATCAATAAGACAAGTTGAATAAAAAGAAAAAACACCCAATCCTTTACAACATATAATTTGATTAATTTGAATTAAGATCTAATAATGGATTCATTGGATTCTTCCAATCATGATCCCAAACTTTTCCATGACTAGGTGAACTTTCCGAAGGGATTCTCATTTGTCTAGGAAACAATCCTGGTAATTTTCCCGTTGCATTAACTCCTAAATCTTTGACTCTAGATCCAACATTTTCTAATCTAGCTATATTCCCATCTGAATCTTTTAAAGTTTTTAAATATAATGATAAATCCGCTAATCTTAATTCTTCTAATGCTTGATCTATTGATCGGTATTGTCTTTCTAATCTTTGATTGACTTTTTCTCGTCTTTCTCTTAATCTTATTTGCCATGCTCTATGAATCGTTTCATGAATTTCGGGTGATGGTATAATAGTTGATAATCTTTCTAATCTTTGACTTTCTTCTTCTTTTTGTTCATATAACATCTATCAAAAAAAACCAAAACATCATTGGTTAAGGATTCAAAATTGATTCAATCATGATAATCAAATTTACCTTTCGAATCACATCTGTTCGATCTGGTCCTGAACTTGTGGTTGTTTTACCAGTTCCTTTTTTGAGATATCCTTTTGATTGTGCTGTACGGTTTTCACTTCCTTTAGCAGATGTTTTGGTTTGTTTGGTAGTCGCCTTTGTTCGAACTTGTCCTGCACTCATTGTAATGAGCTGTGGTCTTTTTGATGCAACCCTTCGGCTGATAGTAATAGGTAAGCCGGACATCGAGATCGAGTTGTTCAGGGTAAAGTGGAAAGTGAAAATAAGGATATGTAAAATGCAAAAAATTGATCGTGGGCAGCAAAAATGGTCAACTTTCGAGATTGTGGCTCTTGACTCGGGACTCCGGGTAGCTATTGAAAGACGGGGGTGGCGAGTCACGCCCCGGATAAACCCGACTCGCTCGGCAACGAGTTCTACTCTTGAGCTGAATAGAAAAAGTTTGTAACAAGCAGATTGCAGCAACAAGAAGATCACACAATGAACCACAGTTCCTCCCTCTGACCCCAACCCTTCAATGCATTCATGCAGTCGTACCGGTTGCAGGAATTGATCTTCAGGGGAAACAGAAAGAAGAATCATGACTAAAAAAGTATCCGTGGAAGTCTGAGTTTTACAAAGACATTCCTTCCAGTCAGATCCACTATACACTGTTCCAAAGTTTTTAAATATCTTATCAAAAAGACAAGATTGTGAATGTGACAAGACCAGATGAAAAGTAAAATTGCATTACAAGCTCAATGATCAATCCACAATCCATACAAGTCTTAATCAGTTGTTATCGACATAACCTCTTTCAAACTTGGATAACTATCAATAGTCCCCTCTTTCTCTACACAAATCCTTGCTGCTTTTCCCGCTAGTGAACTGGCCCGTTTGACATCTTCCAGACTCAACGGTTTTTCAGATTCCATGTTCATCAATTGAGCAATGAAATAAGCCTATTGACCAACAACCACACAGAAAGAATTCGTCATTTCAATTGTCTATATTTGGAAACAATCCAGATAAATGAGCTTATAGATCAAAAAAGCACTCACTGTAAAACAATCTCCAGCACCAGTGGTATCGATGACCGGTCGTGTACCTTTACTAGCTAATGAGCTAAAAAGTGTCCAAGCCTTCTCACCAGAGTTAGCACGGAATCCAACCTGACAACCATTTGCTCCCAACGTCATTACGACTCCTATATTAGCAAATGATGATCGAATAAGTTTAATAAGGGTATCTTGTAGTTCATCTGTTTGACCAAATTCAATCTTAAGATCAACATCCGCTTGATGGTCTGGTCGATCACAAGCTTTGGTGAGCGCTCGAGCTTCTTCTTGATTAACAATTAACCAATCTACTGTACTCCAGGGTATCACGTTTTGAATTTCTGATCTTGATGGAAGAGGCGAAGGGTTGAAAATCGTAGAGATTTCACATTTCTTGGCTGTCTTCAGTGCTGCACAAGTCTCGGATAGTGGGATTTCGTTCTGTAGGAGTAAATGACTATATAGCCTACCATCGATTGTTAAAGGTGGCCAGGCGTTGGAGGGAGCGTGATTGGCTCCATGGACAAGTACAATTGAGTTTTCGCCAGTATGAGAAACTTGAATGATAGCCCGACCGGTGGGGAGCTGTGTTGGTGCTCCAATTAGCCGAAATGATTCCGGTGTGAAACGATTCAAAATCTATGGCGCTTAGATAGGATGGACCTGACCTCCGAAATTGCCATTAACTGATCAACATTTACGCCGTATCCTTCGATAGTCTCCTTGAGCCACATTGCGTCCTGTCCAATCAAGCCCACAAAGGATACCCGAATGCCGGCCTTCGCAAGAGCCACCGCGGCATTGGCCCCCTTGCCACCTGGCCGACGTGAGTAAGCACTAGAGCCGATAGTCTCACCTTCTCGAACTATATGCTCGACGGACAAGTATTCTGGGATTGATAGACAGATGATGGAGATCAATTCACGCCACCCAGGATACCCGTGGTCTAGTGGGATTCATGATCGAGGCTTGATAATCATGAGTGACTTACCATCAACGTTGATACTGCTTCTGACCAAGCATCCTTTGGTATTGTTGGTGTCGTTCATCGCTGTGGAGCAGTTGGCACAGTCTGATTGCAAGGATGTCACAGAGCAAATTGTTAATCGCACTGCATGTTACAGCCTAGCCCTGGTACCGGCCCCGTACGCGAAAGGAAACAATTTTCCTCAGAACTTGAAAGCATTGCATTTTTTGCCAGTGACCCATAGAGAAGTCCATCTATAGTCCAACCCAATGCATCATAAAACTCATGAGCGCAAAGTATCCTCATTATTTCAGAAATGGAATTTACAATTGGATAATTTTTCGATAATGGGTCTGCTCTACTTGAATTGAAATTAAAAGATGAAAAAAGATAACAATCTATGGATGATTCTACCTGTAGTACCAAAAAGAAAACTATTACAAAAAGAAATGAGGGCTAAGAAAGATTTTACCTATAAGAAGATGATCTTGCTAACACATAAAATAGGCTCACGTACCCTATGATCAAGAAAGCAAAGAAAAAAACGAGATCAAAAATCTTGTACCGAGACACAGAATTGAAAAACTAAAAGAGTTTTGAAGAAAGAAAACAAAACAAAAAAGCCCTCAAGGTTCACATAAAATCAGATTCTATGATTTGATCACCCTAACTATCCCAGATCACACCTGAATCAAGAGGAGGGTTCAACAAAAATCATATAGGTACATGTAACAGGATCTAAGGAGAGTCATTAATATAGTAGATATATGTATTTTTAGTTACGTTCTTCAAATTGGCCCTAGGCGGAAATGAGCCCGAAATGCGATCCAACAACATTTCCACGCGCGATGGGTTCAGAACCGGGTACAATAATCACTGTATCGGTGTTCATGTGGTATGCTATGATCAGTGTGAAGTCATCATTTACATTCAAATACTATTCGCACTTACCGAAGGAATGGCGGAGCAGGATTAAGAATGTAATGAGGTACTGTGTGGCGAAAGGCCAAGGTAATCAATCCAATGTTTCGGATCTCAATTGACATCAAACACTGAAATTCTTACAATTGAGTGTAAAACCGGCACCGCCACCCACGGCGAATGACAACAATAACACCGTGATCTGAGTCTGTAGATGAAGAAAGAGTGAGTATAATCCACATCAATCCTTCAGGGAAAACTAAGGATCGGTACTCACACCACCATCCAGAGCCGCACTCAACACGTGCTATACCGTCAAAGAGGAATGTCAATGACACAGTCCAGTCGAGTAAACCGTCGATCGGAACTTACATTATAGCTTTTGTACCACTCCCAGTGATACAATCTCATGTAGAACTGACTCAAAAATCCAACGACAATCGCTGTAGTCCGACCTGCTGTCGTTCCATTGATTGCTACTTGAATTGTACCTGCGACAAGCTACAGTCACCATGTAATGAGTATGACTGAGATGATATCAATGGTCGTCTAGATTCAAGAAGAGTATGCATACTGGAACGTTGAATTTGCCTAGCATGGAATCAGGGTAACGACGCTGAACCAAGAGGAATGGCAGGGGAAGAAAGATGCCGATTAACTGTGGAAAGGTGTTTTGAGTCAGAGGATTTTCCAAAATTCAATTAGAAGCTACAGGCAAAGAATCAAGAAAAATGAGGTGAATGGTGCGCACCAGAGACAGAGGGATGAGGAAGTAGCGCCGCTGCAAAACCAATGTAGAGAATGCAAGTAGCGGATGAGGTTCGTGATTAGTATCGAATTAGTGACATTTCAAGGGAATGTGGCTTACCCCAGGTCCATAGAGTTGGCCAGCGAAGAGACTCCAGGTGCTGACTTCGTTGAACAATCTAAAATGCGTTGGCACAAAAGAATTAGTTTGGCTACGTTTTTGACGTCCAAAGGATTCAGTTTGTATGTCAACTTACGCCTGTGATGCGATTCCTGAGAACTGTGAAGAATGATTTTGTCAGGACCTAGGGATAAAAAGTTTTAAGACCTTCACAAACAAAATGACTCAACTTGACCACTTGCAGTTGGTTCGACCAAAGCAGCAGCATTATCTGTGACAATGGTCTGCATCACAAACTGATTGACAAGCACTCCAATCACGCTACATACCGCAGGAATCAGCCTCGATACCTCGATAAGTGTTGGACTGTGTGTAAACTTACGTTCCAACCACTTGGGCTCCAAATCCTTTCCAGGGTGGAACTAAGGATCAAATGAAATGTGAGTATCATAATTAGGTCTCGGTTTGACCACTCGAAATACACTCACTTTTGGTATACTATGAGTCAAGTTCAGGGAGCACAACTTGGGTCAATGTCAATTTCTCAGGAATAGATCATGTTTGATGAGAGTATACTGACAATCATCAACTTGACGCTGTATAATGATAAAACGAACAGAGTAAATATAAGTCGTACTACCCCAAGTGGGTCTAGACGTAGAAGTTTTTTGGAGAAGTATGACTCAACTCTTTGATGATCAACAAGGCTATAGTGGCACAAGTCGCACTAAAGAGACTGAACCTGTCGATACACAAGAGCTAATGTTACCACGTATCTCTCCATAATAACCGTAGGTCGTATGTGTCGAGTGATCTGAAAAACATACCACATAGAACGGATGACAGAGCCACCATAAACGGAACCGATCATTTGGCATGCAGGAGCAACGATCTAGGTATGATGATGTCTTGGGTCAGCAATCATACTTGCCGTTGTTTTTCACAGTAGATGTGACTCAACAGGATTAAAACCAGCGGTAGCATTAAGAAATCCAATCGAGCTGATGATGATGACGGCCAACTATCGTGAATCAATTCATTAGTTCAACGCAGTACAAACAAAAGCTTACGCTCATGATCTGATTTTCAGATCACACTACACGTACCAACATTGCACTGATCATGGGAACTATGCCCAAATGAGTCCCGGCTTTGATGTATGCCAAAGTGATTAGCTTGATAGGAGTCTGAATGTGGAGACAAAATTGCTCACCAATGATTGAACATACGTAGGCAGTAACAGTGGCTGCACAAGTCAATCCTAGAAAGAACCACATAGGGATGGGGCGATACTACAGATTGGAAGTATGATTAGCTCAAGTGTGGATAGGAGATGATCACTGTATTCACCATTTTCATAGCCTTTAGATGGGGGTCACTTGAATGTATATCGGTCTTGCCAGCGGATCGAAATAACATTGATTGGATCAAACCCCAATTTTGAAAGATAGCTTGAGTGCTTGAAGCGAGAATGGTGAGGTTAAAAAGAATATGACAAGGTGAGCTCAATAGGCTCAAGAATGACGTGTCGCTTTCAAATTTACTGACATCGCACTAGTCATCAACAGGGCAGCAAAAGCTATAAAAAGCGCATTGTTAGAATCATGACAAAGTGGCGTGCAGAAAATGAAGCAACTTCATGGTGAAGCCAATTCTCACCTTGGGAGATCACAAAGCTTAGAGTAAAGGCGGGTAGGCCTTGAGTTTCAAGTCCAATTTTGTCCAGGGTACCATTTGGCCTAAAAACTGCGGTTCGATTATAGGCCCCACCATGCTGGTCAAGAAGTTCGGTTCTGAGTTTGTAGAAATGTAAATCAGTACAGTTTAAGATTTCCTATTTGTATGGGACGGGATTTACGAAAGGAATGGGTATCCGTCTTGAGCGCCAGATTTTAAGAACCTCAATTTGTAAAGTGATAGGTATAAAAATATAGCTGTAGATATGCATATCAGTACACAACCTTTGCAGTCAATCAGGAGCAACAAAGATACTGACAAAAAGCGAGCGCAATCCAAGAATTCACTTGAGCGACCCAAGGTACATACATCGGGGACTGGAGCGAAAATCAAAGACATCGTCAGATTTTGCGGTTCATTAAAGAGATACATTCACGCTTGTGCTCACCGCCCCGTTCACTCCAGCTGAGATGTTTGTCCAATCGAGACTTGCTGTGATGAGGACATTATCAAGTCCAGAAGGACGTCAGTACTGATCAATAGCGAATGTAATATTCGCAGGCCTTATTGGGTTACATACCTGAAAGGATCCCGAAGCCGCTGATATGTTGATGGAGGAAAGTCACGTGTTTGTATCAATTAGCTGAGTTTGATTGATACATAATTCGGAAGAAGATCTTACGTGTTCGGCGAGGATCCACCGAAAACATTCGTCACAGCTGGTACGCCAGGCAAACACATACAGAAGATGTTCACTGCACTCAAAGCAGGCGCAAGAAATTGTGGTAGAATTTCCCATGCCCCAATGAGAGGAGCGAATTTCTTGAAGTATGCAATGCGGCGTTGTGCCAATGGATCTCCTCCATGGAGCGATTGAAAGAGAACTACAGATGGTATGACAGCACTGCATAGGATTGTAGAATTAGCTTTGGATAAGCAGCTGATGATATGTTAAGATCGACCAGACTCACGGATACGAACTACAAGGAAGCATTTGAATATATTAATTCATAGCATTTCCAAAACACACGACACATAATCAAAATCCCATTAGCCTCCTGGTTTGTCTCGAGAAGACGAATTGAGGCTAAGAAAATGAGAGCTTACCATTCTGCTGGGTAGACAAGAAAAGGCCGTACAAGCCAAGCAAAACCTGATGGGAAACGTTCGACAAACAATCCTAAGCCATTCTAGATATTCAGGGCTACAAGACCGCAAGAAGAAGTAGAAACGCACAAATTGCCAGTATTTGATTTGAAAATTGTGCCAAGACAGCCAATGCATAAGGAGGCGAGGCATGAAAGAATAAAATCTGAGGTGCAAAAATTTCAGTGCCAAAAGCGGCATAAGCTGAAGCAGCTGCCATTAATGTAGCAAACACGTCCTCTTTGATGGTATATGGTCCGGGATTCAACCATCGTATCCTCGTGGGTAAAATTTTGGAAAGCAAGGTGCCAAGTAAAAAAGAAAGAATCTGAAGTGTCAATAAAGATATCTATCATTTGTCAAGGTGAGGCGAAGAGAGAGACAAAGTTAGCTGAAGTTTTCGAAAGAAAGGCAGATCAGAAGGATCTGAGAGGGACTGAGGGGGACATCACTAATGTCACCTACCTGGACCCTAACTGGTTTGAATTGAAATAACTGAGCAATCGCAGCCTGAGGTACATCAATACTAATCAGACGACTTTGCACTCGCTAAGGATGTAGAGTTTTACAGACGAACCGCGACAATGGACAACAAAAAGCCAACAAGGACACTCCTGAAAGTGATCACCCGCATGGTGGGATCATCACCAGCATCGAATGGTTTTGAATCTCCACTTGCGCTGTCTTCTTTTTTTGTTTTTAATTCTAATTCTTCGTCATCTTCATTCCTTGAGGGATCGATCTTCTTATCAGACCAATCATCTGCTTGAATACTTTGTGGGTCTTGATGAGATCGGCGCCTGAAGTGTTGTTGAGGTAACAGAATGTGAAAGCTTTCTGAGCATGGAGACATTCTCATTCCCCGTCCTCCCATACCCGTTCCATGAGTCCATCTTGATGGTTGCTTAACCATGATGGGGCGAGAGGGCAGACCAGGTCGATCAGTCCGTCGGGCACCGCCAGGTCTGGCGGGAAGGGCTGGAGTCATCAAGTCCTCGGCACGGTAAGATGAAGCATTAGAGCATTGACGTAAAAGTTTGTCGACAGGTGGCCGATTATCGAAGGCAAACGGCTGTGACATGATGTCGATTTTGATGAGGGGTATCCTGTGAGTCGGTTTGAGTCTGATATATAATAGGAGTCACACAAGCTTGAAAGGTAAAAGAAGCGGATATTTTTAAGCCAATCGTGTCCGTCGATCGCCTCCAACCGCTAAGCTTCGAAAAATCCTTGTACTCTGCCTTAGAAAGGAGTGAAATACAAAGATTATCGATATCGTGCCAGAAAGGCGCCTTTGTGGTTCGTTGTCAATTGTTACGAGGCAAATTTGCTGGTGGTTGAAGGGCTTGAGGTTGGTATCACTAAACTCAGGCTAGTAACGATGACTGATATCGAAAACCCAACAAGAAGTTGTGCACTGGTGTCCTATACTTGATCCTGATGGGAAATGCTGCCAGAGCTATGACTGATTTGTAAAAGTTAGATCAAATTGATTTGTATTAATGAAACCCCAAAGTATGTAGGTCACCAGTTGAAATCGCGAATAGATAAAATTTCCTCCAATCTGGGTAAAGGATGAGAGACAAGCAGACGCGTTTTGGTTCTCATGCGGTCATCAAGACGCAATGTGGAGCCTTCTAGGAATAAAACTTGAGAGTGGAGGTTCAAAGGAATCACCAGAAAGTAGCCTAAAGCTTCGATTGGAGTTACATACTTATAATTGGGGTTCTCACTAATTCTTGAAATACATCTATCAGACGACATGAGACGTCAAAGGACACCGCTCGCCCATCCTTCGTGATGGACTAGCCAACAACAGCCTTGCATTACAGCAGTTCAACTCCCCATGGCCCGGTGCATCCTCCAGATACATGCCGTAGTTCGTCGTGATCTTTGACTGATTTCTGTTGAAGCAAGGGGCAAAGATTGGAGGGTAGAACAGAAGACGAAGGAAGTTGGCAGATTGACTCCGAGTTTACATCTGCTGTATACTTCAGTTGCAATAGAAAGCTCAGAGCCACAAAAGCCACAAATCAAGCTCACATAGCAACACAGTAAACTTCTTTTTATCATCTTCTTTGCAGCTTAGCCCGTGCCGTGCCCGTGTGCGCAATAAAATCTCTCAAACGAGGGGCGTTTGCAAAGAACCTCTACAACATCGCGTCCCACCTAGGAAAGACAGGAGAGATGCAGTATCAGTCTTTTTCTGAGACTGCGCTGAGACGAGCCCTGGGACATACAGGCATAGTATAATTTCTTCTCGAGTGGCGCCTGTTTTCGAGAGGTGTGTTTTGTTTTGATTCGCTGAACTTCTAGGCCTGTACACAGGTATTCAATCAAAACGATTTGAAGGAAAGTTGGGAAATAGAAGACAAATATGTAGCTTACGTTAATTTGATCAAAACGTCAAATCAAGAGGTTGGGTCAGCAAGAGTCAGAATCACACAGTCACATATAAGCTCTGTGAAAACTAGAGCTACAAAGATACGAATTGAATGAAGTAAGAGAAACAATAAACAGATGATTAAAAAATTAATCGCTCCAAACGAGCCAATTGTAATGAAAAGGACACCCTAATAGAAAATACTTACAACGTTTCAGCTTTATAAGAAGCCGTTAATGTGATCAGAGGATTCAAAGATATAACATATGTTGGATGAGTAAGAAGTGACAAAGCTCAGTCCAGACTTACCAATAGATGAGCTTACGAGCTTTGGTCGAGCTTGGAAATGGTTTCATAAATCGATTGAAAAGTTTGTGCAAGTTAAATGTAAACAAGTAGGATATCAAATTTGATTTGAACAAAACTAGTTTCAAATGTAGAACCATTAGCCCCCCATGTAAAATGAATCATTGATGGATTTAATTTGATCATTCTTTGAATTCTTGTTTTTCAGTTCTGTGATTCATTGATTGATTTTGTTCCAAGAAAAGCCTCAAGTCGAGATAAGTGTTTGTGTTTTGATGCCTTGATGCGTTGACGACTTCTTTTGATGTTATGTTGATGAATTCCAATAGCTCGGACCATCTTGGTTCCCTTGGTATGGTACACTGTGCAATTGAACTATGGAGTGCCACCTTTTGTAACCACACTGTATACAGACAGCCACTATTTTTTGTAGCTCAGAGAGAGTCTCAGAAGAGTCTCAGAGCGACAGAGTCTCAGAAAAAGACTGATACTGTTACGCTCCCGGAAAGAGAACAAGTGGAAAACTTGCGGGATTTAAATCTCATGTGATACAACTCGACCAATCCATGACGGTGGATCTAAGCGTAAGGCTCTGCATAAAAGTTAAATCGCACTATATTTAGGGCTCGTTCGGCTACTGCATTTTAATGCACCTTAAACCGATACAGCCGTTCCAAGAAAGGTTGATTTGTTTTCTCAAAATTTCTGTCCCGTGCAAAACTCATACTGTTTATCGAGTTTTTTCTTTTCACAACGTTGAGCAATATGGAAGGCAGAGCATCCTCGCCTGAAGATCATGTGTCCTTGTGACCACTCAATTCACATCTTTTGAAATACATCTGCCAAATCCTTTGTGATTGTAATTTGGCTTTCATGGCTAGCGGCAAGAACAACCTTTTCTCATCAGTCAGTAGGATTTGGCATAGTCAGGCTGTGGCAACCTGCACATCTGAGCGCGGTTAAGTTGGTTCTAGAGAATACTGGCAAAATCAGTTACAGTTGTTTTATCTGCTGTGCTGATGAGCTTTTTTTAAACTTGCAATCAACCATTCTTGGAAGAGCTGTAATTGCATTGAAAAAAAGCTGTTTAGCAGCCTTTTAATCCAAGATTTTAATTGACTTAAACACCGAATAATGCACTGGAAAAGACTCCAGAGGCAATTATTCGATCTACTCAGGTGCTCCAAAATGCAGCAAGCCCAACACGACTTCCTTGCTCCTTTCAGCACGCCGTTATTCTACCTGCGTGATCTCCTACAATTGTCCATGGCACAACTCTAAATTAAATCACTGTGCACGGTCTGACGTAGACCCTCTCACAATGTCATCACAATGGAACATTTGTCGCTTTGATAAAAATGGATTGGTCAAACCAGCTTCAAACTTGGTCCTTCAAGATATCACCTTTGAGTTTTAAACCTTTACCGTGTTTACATTTTCTACATGAAGCAGTTCACCACTGAGCACTTCAAGGACTTGACTCAACCACCTTTTCTCTACACCACATTCAAGGTCAAACTTTCAGATACACTTAATTTCAATGGTTCAAACTGGGTCTGGCTCCCAACCTCCCAAGCCCCAAGCCAAATGGACCAAAGCCCAAACACACACTTTTCTCAACTGGCTTCTAGACAAGCATCACAACAACAATAGATCCAAAAACAACTTTCTACCAGTTCTTTGGACCAACGCTGCCAAAGATTTGAACAAGGCATTTGAGCTTGACCATGACATCCCACAAGCCAAGAACCATTACACTGTGGTTTATCTCTTTCTATTTCACTTCTTGCATTTATATTCACATCTCTTTCTATGTCACTTCTCCAATTCACTCACAACTGTACATCAGCTGATTGCTTGTGCATCATTCTGTACAGCTGAAGTGAATTATGTGTGATCTGAAGGAAGGATTGGGATTGGGCTGGGATGATGAGCAACAGACAGTCATAGGAGGTGACAACTTCTGGGCCAATCGGGTTCAGGTAGGTTATCCAACTCAACTCCATTCTCTCATCATTTCATTAATCAACAAGCAAAAATACATCAAATCTCCACTGGCTTCGAATCATGGGCTCAACAACAATGATATTGATGCAGGCAAGGAAGGAAAAAGCAAAGTGATCAACTTGGCAGGTACATGTGATTATTTTCTTACATACATCAATGACAATATCATCATTTTGTTCACATGATTTTCTCATATTCCATCACAGATGAGTGGTCTGATTTTGACAATGCACTCACACCAAGCGCTACCAATAATCCAATTGCTTCTAACCCATCAGCTTGAGCTAAGACAACTCCTTCAGCTCTAAAAAAACCTTTCAATTTGGCTGCTCCCATCCCCAAACCAACTAACACATCCTCCTCCAAGCCAAGTGGCTCTGATAAGGCTCCAGTAAAACTGGCAAGCTCACTACAGCAAATGACATAAACCTTGGCACTCAAGGCTCAAGCTCTAGTTGATAAAGAAGATAGAAAAGATGCTCAACACCATTCTCAAGCTGAATACATTTTTGAAGCAGTTCAAATCAAACAGGAGTCTTAACACCCTCCAACTCCTCAATAATTTCAACCTTCAGCTATGGCTTGCTTCAGACATAGCAGTCAAGATCACTTTGCAACAGCATCAGACTGTATTGATTCAGCTGGTATTTTGAGAAATAAAGTTGTGGCAGAGTTCTTTTTGAATCCGGAAGATGATCTTTGTTTTCAGTGGTTTCAAGAGAAGATTGATGAACTCAAGAGAAAGAATTAAAATCAATCTATCATCAAAAAAAACAAAATCAAAAGTTTTCATTACAGACAGTCATATTTTATGGACAAACGGTTGTTATTACAAAATACTATTGTTTTTAAATTATATTTTACTTTTAAATGCTATTGTTCTTTTAACTAGATTGTACTATCACCAGAGTGTAGTTGATGAGCTTGCTCCCCTTCAAATATCTGTAGGACAGCTTGATATACTGGAAACCCACTGCTTTGGATTGGTTTGGCATCTTTATTACCATCCTGATTATTCAAAGGTTAGAACTGATGGAATGAAAGATAAAAAATGGATGAAATGTACTTCCCACTATTGACCCCATCAGGCCTTCTCAGTGTGAACCTTGACATTTGTCATATCAACTCCAGGTGTGCCACTTTTGACTTCTTCAATAGGAAACAAGGTATGGTGGTGAGCCCATGCACAATCAGGTGAGTTGATCTCTTCATCTTCCTTCTTATAACATCATATCTTGAACAGTCTGATTCATCTATTTTTACCTTGATTTTGGTTTTGGTGGTTTGGAAGTGGGTTCTTCATTGGTTTTGGAATGAGGCATGCTGGGCAAGAGTGGGTTGAGATATTTGAGGAAGGTGGTGATTGAGTTAAGGAAGGTGGTGATGAGTGGTGCAAGGGCTTCCATGGACCATACAGAGTTTACCTTGTAAAATTGTAAAAAGTGTTAAATAAGCTGTGTTACAAGTTTCTTGAGGGAAAAAATTGCTAATAGTGAAATCTTGGAGTGTCCCAAAAATCTGCATTATAATCATTCTGGACATTACAGAATGCTTGTTAATCATAAATTGAACACATTTTGCAGTAAGCTTAAAATTGTCTAAACGCAGAATACCTATTGAATTGAATCTTCATATCCTATCTCTAATCCAAACTCCCTACAAAAAGTGACTTCGTCCATCATGAATTGATCTTTACAATGTTTGGCTAAGATGGACAAGTTTTCTAACAAAAGATTGTTTTGGAAAAAAAGAAAAAGGTGATCAATATATATGTGGATGAGAAATCATACGATGAACTTCCTTAAACTTTTTTAGTAATGGTTAACTTACCTGTCCAATTCTCAGCACCTGTTTTGAATAATTGACATTCTTTTTCTAAACAAGAAATCAAACATTCAAGATAATCTATCAGTTATTTATTCTTTTCAAAACTGTTTTCTCCAAAGAATTTTAACAATCATCTTGCACATACCTTTTTCTTCAATTCGTGCTGGATCTATTGCATGTAATGTTTCAAGTTCTTCTTGAAGTGATTTAATAGAAGACTTCAATTCAAGTAAGTCTTGAAGACCAACTTGTCTTTCAACCTACCAACTCATCCAAAATAAGCTTATCATAGTCTTCTATAATTGCATATTTCAAATAAAGAGAAATTGAAACTCAACAGATTCCACTCGATCAATTCTTTCTAACTCGATGGCATCCTCAAGTTCAGATTTTTGAAGTTTGAATTTTTCAAACTCTTCATTTTGTTTTTTGATCGCTTTATTAATGTTCACCGATTGTTCTGAAGTAAAACTCCAATAAAGATTTATACTTCCTACTTTTTCTAGTTTAACTAATCCATCATCTATCAAGTTCTTTAGTGTATCTTCTACACTTTGACTTACTATATACATAAACGATAGAAAATATAGTAAGTCAGTTAGTAAGTTGTTGGAAAGTTGGAATGAGGTAGACTGCCAACCGATTCCTGTAGCCCTCGGTACGAGCTATGCGTAATCATATGGTCAGTTCAGTACTGGAACCATGGAAGTAATTAAGAACCAACCTTCATTAAATCTTTGATGGAAAAGAAATCATTCTACAAGATTTGATCGCACATCCAAAAATTAGTCAACCAGACTTTCAAAACTTGAAGTTTAGAAGTTCAAGAATGCAAGAAAATCAGTCATGGAGAAGACTCACAGATGCATGAAAGAAGTCAATCATCCTTGTAAGTTTTTCTTCAGCGCTTACACCTGCTCTTTTTGACATCCTTCAATTTTTTTGGTATACAATTTGATCGATATATTACTGAACAGTGTCGTAGTCACAATTAACAAGAGATAAGATGGTGATGAAAATTGAACTTTTTTTTATTCAGAGACGAATGAGATTATTGATTTGAATGAGATGATGAAGGGAGCAGCTGTTGACTTGAAAATCAAATTACAGCAATAAGTCTTGTTGACCGTCGGAACAACCAAGGACAGTCTTGTTGACCATTTACCAAATCACTTGATTCAATTTGATCTGAAGACTTGTAACTCGTTGATTTCTCAAAACCTTCTTATCCAAAAATCATAGCAAATATGTATCAAGGTAGCTCATCCTCGAAAATGTCTCATTCATCTTTCATTTATGCATGATACTCCAGTATCCCCGGCGAATACTAGAGTCATGAGAACCCGATGCCAGATACATGTTAATTGTAACCAAGATCGCTTCAAGCTTATCGAAGAAAGGACACTACTTTGTATTTTACATCATAAAAATCAAAAATCTCAACAACAATGAGACTCATTCAAGTCACACAACAATTCAGGGAGATATAAAAAGTTTGCTTCCAGGCTAACTTAACTAAGTCCCTCTACCTCGTGAGCGAGCCTTAGCGAGTAGAGGGACTTATATGTAATGTCGAGTTCGTCGGTGACAAGCACAATTGGCTTTTGGTGGGGAAGTCTTATATGTATTATGACTTTTCCGTATCGATTTATGGAATTTTCTGTTGTTCGATTATGTTTCCGTCTGGAGTCTCGCCCATCTTTCTCTCCATTCCATTTTTGATGTTGAGATCAAAACAAAAAGTTTCCTTTGACCTCAACAAAAGCTCTTTTGGAATTTCGAAAAAGGGCTGCGGATGTCGGCTCAACGGTTTTGTGTGACATCCATGCGGCTTGAAAACCAAATTTGAGAAAGTCTTGACTTCATCAAAAAACCATTGATCAATCATCGAGTAGCCTTCAAAGCCTCAAAGATTTCCAATCCGTAAATCAAAAATGTCTTTGTCGAGAATGCGAACTCGAAGTGCGCCAAACATTGATGAACAAATACCAGATTTGAATGATCTTAGCCGGTCTAGCCGTAGCTTACAGTTAGAACAAACAAGCCTTACCAAAAAAGTGCTCACCGCGTCATTACAAGAGCAGTGGGAGATGTTCAAGGCCAAGTTCGTAGCTACATGGGTCAACAACCAGCCAACAGATGTTCAGCTACAAGCCGCTGTCGCTCTAGCAAACGGTGAAAACACCTTCTTACTTTCTGCGACCGGGTCCGGAAAGAGTCGAGTGTCGGAACTATTCTTTCTCATGTTTCCGAAGGTCAAGAAGGCCGTGATAATGGTCTTGAACCCACTAGATGCGCTCGGTGATAACCAGGTTTGTTTAGGCTTCTGATCAATGTCAGCCATGTCATTCTAAAGATCACATTCCTCTGCTTAGGTTTTGGAGAAGAAATTCTGCGGTATCACTGCAATCAATCTTACAAAGAATACATTCACTAAGAAGGTATTGGACAAATTACAAAAACATGAATACTCATTCATATATCTGGTACGTTCGTTTATCCAGGAAGACCAAATCAAATGTATGTTTTGAATAAACTAATACCTCTTGGTTCCTAAAGAGCCCTGAGATATTTTTGAACAGCGAGTCATTTCAAACTCTTTACCATAGTAAAGAGTTTCAGTCTCACCTTGTCTTGAAAGTGGTTGATGAAGCACACTGTATCTACCTATGGGGGCTTCAAGAAAGTGGAGCTTCGAAACATTTCTCAGTGCATGTAACCCCGCAAGATGTTGGTTTTTTTCGACCAGCTTACGGATCTCTTGGCAAGCAGCTGATGGCAACCATCAACATACCATTCCTCTTGATGTCGGCAACTTGTCGACCGATAGCAGTCTCATCAATAATGAAGAGCTTGAGTACAACTTCATCTCATATTACAATGATAGAAGGAGAGCTTGCTCGCCCTGAGCTTTGCTTCATCAGAATATATATGACTTCAACTCTTGACTCAGTAGAAGACTTGAATGTACTGATTCCTCATGAATCGAATGTCTCGAACGAGGAATTAACTCCAATGATTATCTACTCTGGCACTCGTAATGGAACATTGACGGTAATGCAAGTAGTTTCGAAAGCACGCGGTCAACCGGATGAATACAAGAATCCGAGATCGAGACTTATCCGTAGATATCATTCTGTGACGGGCGATAAAGACAAATTAACACACGCTGAGGAGTATGGCAAAGGAATCTACCCAATAATTTCTGCTACTTCCGCTCTCGGACTGGGTCAGAACTGGCCTCGCGTGAGGATTGTGGCTGTCATGGGTGTGATGGACCCTTCTGAATCAAATCAGATGGCTGGACGATCCGGACGCGGTCATCGAGCAGGATTGGTATTCTTGTTTGTTCAGCCAAACATGCCTTCAGGGAAGAACTCTTCTGAGGATATCTCAGTTACACCTAATATGAGCAATGAGGAGCGTATGCATGCGCTTCGATTCACGCCATGCTGCTTGAGAGTGACATATAATGTTGATAACTTGTACGCTTTTTTGATACCACACACAGATGACCTTATATTCATGATTCCAAGCTGAATCAATTTGAACTGTACAGAAAAGGATATATTCCCATGGCTCTGACAGATCCTGGCTACCTCAAGGAGATCAAGCGTCAGAATTATTTGAAGATGCCAGCTTGCCGATGTTCTAATTGTGACCCTCAAGGAGCGGCTCGGATCATTCGACTTCTGCCGCAAACAAAAGCAGCGGATCTAGATGCTTTGCTATTGTCGGTCCCATCTGAAACAGAAGACACATCACTGCTCAATATTCCAAGGAACAGCAAGAAGAGGAAGTTTTCAAGTGACCTTCCACTCGTATGCAAGTTAAATGATCCCATCCGATTGAATGTACCGCTTATTGATCTGACGGCCTCAATTATGGGAAATTACGAATTTCTTTTCAACAAAACTTATCCGACTGATGCGCCTTATCTGCCTCAAGCTCTTTTCACTCGGGAAGATGCCTGGCAGATTGCTAAGAACTACCAATCGGTTTCTAATGGAATCTTCCTTCGAGAGATTCTAGGAGGGCAGACTATACCTGGGCTCTTTGAAATGATCTCATCAAGTATTCAATCTTGGTTTCGGAGCGAATTGTTCAAAGATCATCAAAGCGAACTCGAAGATATTCAAATTGAAAGTGACCAAGCAATCTTGGACACACAACTCATTGAAGAGGAATATCAAGAAGAGGAGCGACTGAGGGATGTGGCAAAAGCGCTCAAAGCACAAGGCATTGCAGATCGAAAGCGTTTACGTGCTGAAAAGGCTGCGGAGGCCTTGAGATTGAAAGAGCAAAAACAAGCTGATAAAAAAAAAGCAATCGCTCATTTAAGTACATTACATTAAAATGATTCAAGGGAGCTCGTTGTCAACTGGCTGCTCCAAAATGTCTTCCTCTTGAGTTTTTGTATTCATTGACCCCCAGATGAAGCGAGAAGGAATATTCTTTCGGGCTTCAAGCTTGAGGATCGAGCGCAACTTCAAAATTCCTAGATATTCCACATCGTCAAGCTCCTCATTTTCATCAGTAGGTCGTTGATATTTAGAGTATTTAGGATCGCTCAGGTGGACCTGAGCCATGCGTAAAAAGGTTTTCATAGTTTGATCTGATATCGGATGTGGATTGTTCTGATAAATATCTTTCAGACCAGACCAAATCTTCATTCGATGGATCTGGTTACGAAGCTATGAAAGATATTATTAAATCAAACTCTGTGCTAAAACCAAAAGACGTGAGAAGAGAAAATTGTACTCACTAGTGGGATGATAATTGAAAATCTATCCATAAGTCTGTCGATTTGTGTCCCTTGACCCTATAAGTCATCGCTTGAATCAGTTCATGATAAATCAAAAGAGGAAAAGAGAAAAAGTCATACTGAGTTATTATAAAAGTATTTCAGCCAATAGTTCTGAATTTCGAGATAAAAGTCCTTTGCAACCCAGTGTCCATCACACCCCCCAGTTGGGATTAGTAGTGAATGCTTTATTGCTTTGGCAATCTTCGGAGGTAGAAATCTCTCGAGTATGAGGATGAACCTGGGCAGATGTATCACATAATGTGAAAGGCCTTTGATTCCATGTGCCATAACAGCCCATCTTTTCCACATTAGAAGGACACGACCCACGTCTCCTGCTCGCATTGCATGATCACCTTCAACAATCGTTGCAAAGTCACGAAGTCGAAGTCGTAAGTTGTACAAACTCCAGTCGCCAGTCTTTGAAGACTGATCCACTGATGAGGCAGTGAAGTAAGTTTCATAGCACTCATCAATGATTGAGTTTGCCGCATTAGGTTGATCAAGTTGAACAGGAGGGTTTCGGGACTGAATTATCTGCGTATTGAGATAAATCAAGCATCAGCTCAGGAATTACGCTGAGGTTCTCAGAGAAAACTATGTATCTCAACAAAAAGACCAGAGTGGCTGTATGGCTTTTGTGTATCATTTGCAACAAAGAATTGAAGTCTTGTTGAGACGGAAGTTTGTCTGTATTCATCAAAAGCGCACCAGCAGTTCGGTGCAGTCCAGTGTCAGATGAGTCGCTTGGATCACCCCAATGATGGGCTATGACTTTGCTAGCAACATTCCACATGGTATGAGCTAACCCAGGCATGTTGAGAATATTGTTTAAGGTTTCATCAGCTGCATCAGCTGGAAAGCGCTGGCGAATTAGAGACTCGAAGTTCAAGCAGGTGCCCATATCGCCTTCGTATACTTGGATCGACTCGGCGGATTTGTCTGAATCTTCACCTGTCTGTTTTAGGCATTGTCCGAGCATATCGGCTACGCCTGCGGCGGAGCCATCTGACGCATTCATCATTTTCAACATCACCAAATCGGGTGTGTACCATTCAATCGGGTCTACTGGAGGGGAGACGGTTACGAGTGATTTTTTGCAAGCAGTGTATGCTGGTGAGTTCTTTTCAAGTTCGTATTCCAAAAGAACTTTAGCCAGCTGTGACTTTAGTACAAGTCCCCAGTGCAATTGATCTTCTTGACGGCGCAGCATCGAGAAAATCTCAAATGGTTCTGCTTGACTTTTTTCGATGTAGTTCAGAAGAGATTTGGTACTGGCGTCCTTGGGGTCAATTGAGTCGATAAGATGTGCTGGCAAGAAATGAAGGTATCCATAAGAACCATGGAACATCTTTGTAGATGCCTCGATTCGAGCGTTATGAACACGTGCTTGAATATCAATATTATCGAGTGTTGTGAAAGGTCGAAAGTTGTACGTTTTGGCCATTCGATTTTTGATTATTGCTTCAGAGGCTTTCCCAAGGGTTAGCATGGCTTTCAACCCAGTTTGGCGACTAGTTGTTAATCCTAGGAAGTGTAGCTGATCATTGACTCGTTCAGAAACACCGCAAGCGATGAAGGCAATGGCGTTCTGTAATTGCATTCCATTGAAACGTCGATTACAGGAAAAGGCTATCATTGATAATATGGTACCTGGAAGCTGAATTAAGAAAGATAGGAGCATGCGAGTGTTTTCTTCCACTTTCAATTGTCTTGAATACAGATACGCACATGCTTCAATCGATGGTCATCCACACTGCTTGAGAAAGTGTTTTCCGAATGAGATAGCCCCTCCATGGACTCAGCAGGTATGGTTACTTATCAGCCTCTCGTCAGGTATTGGTAATCCGTGATTAGGCTTCTGTTCCGACTTTTCCTCCCGGGATTCCTTTGCTCGATAACCGCTAGTTCAATCTTCTTGTATATGAGTGAATGTAAGAAAGGCATGCTCTCAATCAAGATTTTTTCTCAAGCATCCTCGGATTTGTTTTCGAAAAACGGATAGTCAACCCGTTCAGCACTATAAAAGCTCCCCTTTGGAGCATAGCCTCGAGGTGGCTCTTCACGATTCACAATTTCGTGGGCCTGATGTGATTGCAACTCATTCAGTTAGAATTCGAGTCAATTTTGGGATGTTGCTGGAAGATACTGACCTGTCTCAAGATAAAGTCAGACCATCGCTGAGTATTGGCCTTTCTGTCACTTTCAATCGCTCGCTTTTTGATACTCAAGATGAGATTCACAGTTGAATCCCAGCCAGTTGGTGTACCCCAAAATTGACGTCTTGAAGCAATCTCCTCTTTGCTGGAATCGAGTAGATTTTGAAAGAATTCCTTGGGAGTCAATCCAAGTTTCTTGATAAAATCACAAATCTTTATTGTACGGTGTTGTGAAGCTTCTTCAGGATTGGTTGTGCTGACGGTGACCTCTGGCACTTGATTCTCAATATTCGAATTCACCTCTCCCAGGAGTGGGTCAATATGCGAATCCATCTTGCTTAGGATTTGATTTTGGTGTAGCGGTCAACAAGAACAAGAGTGGTAGTGGTCAACAGGTGAGGATAGTTCAAGTTCTTTATTCCTCTCATGTAAGCAGCAAAAACCAATCAAGCCTAGTTGATCAATACCCTTCAATCCCTCTTACCGCATTCTCACATGATCGATCGCACAATTTTGAACTGGAAGGTTCACAAGGTCTCACATTACATACCCTTCTGGTTTGTGTAACTCACAGCATCCGAAATTCCAAAAGAGCTTTTGTTGAGGTCAAAGGAAACTTTTTGTTTTGATCTCAACATCAAAAATGGAATGGAGAGAAAGATGGGCGAGACTTCAGACGGAAACATAATCGAACAACAGAAAATTCCATAAATCGATACGGAAAAGTCATAATACATATAAGACTTCCCCACCAAAAGCCAATTGTGCTTGTCACCGACGAACTCGACATTACATATAAGTCCCTCTACTCGCTAAGGCTCGCTCACGAGGTAGAGGGACTTAGTTAAGTTAGGCTTCCAGGTCTTATTTACACCGCGGGAATTAACTCGTTTGAAACCCAATTGAGTGAAATTTTGGTGTCCGGGTTTGAATTTCCTCGAATCAAGAAACTCGTTCACAACTCGTTAGCAATAGGTTTGCCAATTTCCCTCGGGCTGTACCCTGTACTCTGCTGGCCAAGACTACCCCATTCTTGTTTTAGATCTGTATGCGTGCGCTGCCGTCCTGACCGAACCCTCTTGTGTCCTTCCTTTTTT